TGATGATTCGAGCTATAACTGAATCCTGGATGTTGATTTTTATTTCTCCACCCTTGATTCTGGTTATTGCCGTATTGGTTCCTCCCTGGATTATATGGAACTTTCTGATCATGCCAAATTCCATTAACATCTGCAGTTTCGGGTGCCTTGCAGTCATCAGTAGTATGAGCACCTGCGCAAATATCACAAACAATAGAAAAAGTATTAACATGAGCTACTGAAGTATTAGAGGAAACTTGAAAATCAGAAAATTGCTTTGTGAGAGCATCTAGTTGTTGTTGCTGTTTCTTATTGGACTGTAGGATCTGATCATTCTGGGCCAAGATGGCATCATAGCCATCAAGCTTCATAATCCCCGCTCTTCTCTGTGGTGCGGGAGCATTATCATACTCCTGAGAGGCTAGAGACTCTAGTAATTCCAAGGCTTCCTCTGGAGTTTTTGTCTTCAAGGACCCTCCTGATGCAGCATTCACCACTGTTCTTGTGTTCGGCGTCATCCCTTGGAAGAAGGTTTTCGCTTGCTCCCAGGCTTCAATGCCATGTTGGGGACACTTCCTGAGCAGTCCTTTGAATCTTTCCCATGCTTCGTATAGAGATTCACTTTCTTTTTGTTCAAAAGAAGTGATATCCGCCTTGAGCTTTGCCATCTTCGAAGATGAGAAAAATTTATCCAAAAATTTGGTTGCCAAGTCGTCCCAGTGAGTGATGCTTCCTTGAGGTAACGATTGCAACCATCCTCTTGCTTCGTCTTTAAGTGAACATGGGAACAACCTGAGCAAAATAGCATCCCGAGACACCCCGTTCATTTTCAAGGTATCACAATATAGCAAGAAGTTTTCCAGATGGATGTAAGGGTCTTCAGTGCTTCCTCCGGCAAATTGGTCTTTCTGAATTAATTGTAAAAGTGCCGGCTTGAGTTCAAAGTTGTTAGCATCCACGTTTGGTCTAACAATACTCGCCGTCTGTGGAACTCGAGCAGGAGTCATGTAATCTCCCAACGTTCTCGGAGGTGGTGGAGGTACATTGTTGTCTCCCATTGCTTCTTCTCTCGGTTCTGTTGAGCTTGAAGCTTCTTTCTCTTGCTGTCTTCTTTCTTTAGCAAGTTTTCTGTTTCTTTTTGCTGTTTTCTCTATCTCCGGGTCGAATTGCAAGGAATCGGTGTCAACGGTACCTCGCATAAACCAGAAAAATAGATTATATAAAATAAGAAAATAAAACTGAATTTAAATAACAGAAAATTAAATAACAGAAAATAAGGTCCAATCTAAAGAATTAATAGCTACTATTAATGTTGAAATAGTAATCCCCGGCAACGGCGCCAAAAACTTGTTGCTACTCACGGCAAGTGCACCGATCGTACAAGTAATATATGATTAAGTAAGAGATCGTTCCCACGAGGATTACGGTTCAAGCACTAATTCACTATCGCAAACTTAGTTGGACAATCGAAAGTGTATTTGGAAACAGGATTTGAATTGTAAAATTGAAATATTAAATATTAAGCTAATTACTTGCAAGAATTAAAGACAAGAAATTAAAGATGTGATTTAAGAATGTAAAAGAACGTAGCTAGGGGTTCGATTTCCTTTAATCTCCTTATTATGATTCAAAGTCCTTCTTTACGTTAACCGTCCTTAATATCAATCTAACCAATTCTTTCGCGTGTTATTAGAGCTCAATCCCTTGTTACCCTAAAACCTTTACAAACTTGAAAGAACCCTAGTTCCCCGGTTATTCCCAAGAATGCAAGCATTAAGTTCAAGAATCTTAAGGTTACGCAAACTCTATGTCTATTCCTAGAATCATAGCGTTTACGATGAAATTATCAGATATGGATCACACACCAACATCCCTATTGTCATGCATTTACCGATGATCATTATATAAGATTCAAGCCTATATAAAGCATTAAAAACAGATAACTTCATTCATGATAAAAAGGAAAATTAACGTACGAATTATTCAAAGCATAATAAATCGACTAAAATCCATCTAACCCTAACTACTTAAAGAACTAGCCGGACATGGCAAAATCAAGAACAAAAGAAAATAGAAAGGCTCCCCCAAACTCCATAGGTGATTGGTGGATCTTCAAAATCTCCAGTGAACACTTGACGTTGATCCGTCTCCGCCGCTCACGAACATGAATCTGATGTTTCTTCGCGTTCCCTCCGCCTCCAAGCACCCAAGAGTTGTTTAGCAATCTAAAAGTTATGTATTTCTGGTCCCCAATGGCCCTTTTATTGGCCAAGAGTTCGTATCCTAGTAGAAAACTCGAATGGGCCTAAGTTGGATCTGTCTGGGCGCTTAAGCCTGTTGTAGCGCGCTTAAGCGCCCTAGGACAGTGAATTCTGATTCGCGTTGCGCGCTGAAGCGCTCTGAAGGGCGCTTAAGCGCGCTCCTCGCGACAACTTTTTCTTCTTGTGGCGCGCTTAAGCCCTGAGTTGGGGGCTTAAGCGCCCAGAGGCAGTAGCTATTTGCGTTTTTAGGGAGCTTAAGCTTCTGAATGGGGGCTTAAGCTCCCACTTCTAACAACTTGATAAGATCCTCAATCTTATTGTTTTTGATCTTCTTCTATCATCTCTTGATCTTATCTTTTCTAGTTGTGATCTCTATTTATCCAATCTTCATCTTTGACTCCTTTTGTCAACAAATCCCTAAAAAATAGCAAAGATGATTCCATTAAACAAAAATTCAGATAATGTTCATGATTATTATATTAAACCTTAGTTTTTGACTTATTTAACTTGATATTTTATATTAATTTAGTCTATAAAATAAGATAAACTAAAGGTTTATCACTTATCTTCCTTAATTTATTCTATCAAACCCTATATTTGTGCTTTCATTCTATCTCAACCTCCCAATGGCAGAAAATACACGATTCAAAGATCTCACCAATCGCTTAGAACAATTAGTGCAACAATTCCATACAGCGAAATTTCTACGTGAACAACAATTTTTGGGTCTGCAAGAATTTGAAACACAACTCCAAGACGGCCACACGTTACTTCAAGAATCTCAGAAGAACCAATTTCATATTATCCGCCAAGATTTTTCTTGTTTGCTTGAGATCTATATATCCTCTACCATTGGTACTTTTACTAATGGAATTCTTGGCGTCAGTCCAAATTCAACACATGCACTACGAAATGAAAATGTTGGATATAAGAACACCAGCTCCCGACCATTGAAACTAGACTTTCCACTTTTTTTTAGGGTGACCCGACAAATTGGCTTTTTGTCTATATTATCACATACCAAAAGCAGACCATTTAATTCTTGTCTCTTTTCACTTGGACCAGCCTACTACTTGTTGGTTTCAAGAGCTATTTTAGATGGATTACTTCCTACGTGGGCTTCTTTTATGTAGGTCACTCATCGGCGCTTTGGTCCATCAGAATTCGATGATCCAGCAGGTACTTTAGCAAAAATACAACAACTGGGGACCGTCTTTTAGAATCAATATTATTTTGAAAATCTTGCCAGTCAGGTTCCAAGCCTTTCTCCAACTTTGCGTCGAAGCCTCTTTAGGAAAAAATGTTTACATTTTTAATAGTTATACTATTTTTTTTTAAATTATTGGTTATTGCTTAGGGTTATGGTTAAGTGTTATTGAAATCGGATCAGCCCAAAAATTGTCCTGATTCTAGCAATGGACCATATATGTTATTGACTCGATATCTATTGGGCAACCCAGTGGTGAACCACGGTTCAACTGATATTAACTGATTTTGGAAAAAAAAATGTTTCCTATGTTGCGGCCGCTGAGATTCGATTTTATGTCTCATGAGAATTGCAAACAACTATTTACCATTGGGCTTTGATCTTATGTCCATAAGAATTGCAAACAACTATTTTCCATTGGTCTAAGTTCGCTTGTTGGTTAATGTGCACCATTTAATATATTTATTATATCATTTAATAGAATTGTTTCAAAAGTTGCATCTAGTGGGGATGAAATCCTTGTTATGAAGATATAAATCATAGTATCTATCACTAGGCTACATTTAGTTCTTGGTTCATTTGCACCTTTTAAAATATTTATCGTATAATTAAGTATAAAATATAAGTTTATATACATATTTGGGTTATGTGGTTAAATCAGTGACCCACTGATTGAACCAATGATCTAAGAGTCAATGAAATGTTCGAATTTAATAACATAACTTAAATTGGTTAAAGTCACTTACTCAAAAAATAAAATAAAAAATAAAATGGTTAAAGTCTACTATAATCACGTGAGCTGTTCAGGTTCAATTTTTGGATTGGATACTTTATGAACAAGTTTGAGGTTGAATTTTTGGCGGAATTAAATATATCCAAACTTTCTTTTGGAATAAAGCTGCTAGGAATCTGGGACAAAGCTGCTGATCCTCCCGATGACTATCTTAAAATTCCATTTTATGTTAAAAAGTAGAATAAAGAATACTGAAAATATTCATAATATTTATACTGTAAACATGGTAGTCATTGAATAGAAATAGAACAATTAAATTTTACCCTGATTATGATTTACAAATGAATTGAAAAGTCACTGTCATTCTCAAAGAAAACAACCAAAAGAGACAAAGCATCGGCAGAGGGTAGGAGGCTGATGTCAGTGTGAGCGGTTGAGCCCAAATTCCACCGTTGTCGATGGGGCATATTTTGTTAAAAGTATATGCGTGCGTGTTAAGGTCAAATGTTACCCCAAAACCCACTCCAGGTTCTTGCCCGTTGGAAACTACAGCTACCTTATCTATAAATAAAGGGAAAAGTGTGTATAATTTTGAAGGATGTAAAGTTGTGTCATTTTAAGAGAGAGAAAGAGATAGATAAAAGAGGAGAGAAAGTTGACAAAAAAAATAAAGTTGTGGGTCCCACCTCTTTGTGAGAGTGAAAGGATGTAAGTTGTGTAATTTAAATGTATAGACACTTTTCCCATAAATAAATAACCAAAACCCAAGAATGCCCATTCATTCTATTCTATCTCAGTTCTTAACACTGTAAGTCTTCTAATGGCTTCTCCTTGCATTCTCTTTCTACTCTGTGTTCTGTCTCTAATCGCATCCACTTCTTCCAAACCCAACACCATTACCCTCCCTCTTTCTCCCTTATTCACCAAATCCTCATCCTCTGATCCATTTCAGACCATCAAACTCGCCGCATCTGCTTCTCTATCCAGGGCCCATCACCTCAAGCACCGCAAATCAGGTCACAATTCTTCTTCCCCTGTCAAAACACCAGTTTATCCCAAAGGTTATGGAGGATATTCCGTAGATCTTAAATTCGGAACCCCACCTCAAACCTTATCTTTCGTCTTGGACACTGGAAGCAGCCTCGTCTGGCTCCCCTGCTCCTCTCGCTATACCTGTTCCAATTGTAACTTCCCAAACATTGACCCAACAAAAAATCATACCTTCATTCCTAAGAATTCATCTTCTTCCGAGATCGTAGGTTGCAAAAACCCAAAATGTGGGTGGCTTTTCGGCCCCGACGTGCATTCTCGATGCCAAGGATGCAAACCCGATGCTCAGAATTGTACCCTGAATTGCCCTGTTTACATTATTCAATACGGGTTGGGCTCAACAGCTGGGCTTTTACTCTTGGAAAATCTCAACTTTCCGGGAAAAATCGTAACCGATTTTCTCGTTGGGTGTTCTATCCTTTCGATCCGGCAACCGTCCGGGATCGCCGGCTTCGGACGCGGGAAAGAATCGCTGCCGTCGCAGATGGGTCTCAAGAGATTCTCCTACTGCTTGATTTCCCACCGGTTCGACGAATCGCCGGAGAACAGTGACCTCATTTTGCAGATTGACTCCACCGGCGGCGCCAAGACCCGTGGACTCAGCTATACGCCGTTTCACCGAAACCCATCTGTTAACAACTCCGCATTCAGAGAGTACTACTACGTGACCCTTCGCAAGGTAATCGTCGGCGGCAAGCAAGTGAAGATTCCGTTCAAGGTACTGGAGCCAGGTTCTGACGGCAATGGTGGCACCGTCGTGGACTCTGGTTCAACGTTCACGTTCATGGAAAAGCCCGTCTATGATCTGGTGGCGCAAGAATTCGAGAAGCAATTGGCCAATTACACACGTGCCAAGGACGTTGAAACCCAATCTGGTTTGAGTCCCTGTTTCAATTTCTCCGGTGTGAAAAAGGTGCCTTTCCCTGAATTAACTTTCCAATTCAAAGGCGGCGCCAAGATGGCGTTGCCTGTTGCGAATTATTTCTCGTTGTTCGGCGATGCAGAGGTGGCTTGTTTGATCATTGTCTCCGACGGAGGTGCCGCCGGTCCTGCGAGGGCTGGTGGTCCGGCGATCATCTTAGGGAACTACCAGCAGCAGAATTTCTACGTTGAATATGATTTGGAAAATGAGAGGTTCGGATTTCGGCCACAGAGCTGCAAAAGGAGTGCTTAGTTTAGCACGTGGGAAATAATGTGCCGTGGCGGTGGACACACTGTATCGGAGACAACGCCGCTGACATCACGGCGGTAATTGAAGATGCATGGTTGTACTTGTAGCTGCAGTGGCTCGTCATCGTTTATTATTATTATTTTTTTATTTATTCAGGGGATTAGTGCAGTAAGCAAATATTTATGTCATAGGATGATTTTATATTTATATAAGTTATACTTTCAATTTTAGTTAATGATCTCATTTATATTTTATAGTTTTAATTTTTTAGTTATGTGAATTTTTGATATAATTAAATAGATCAATGATCAATGATCAATATTAAATATAAAATCATTTATTCTTATATAAATGTAAGAATAATATGTTTATAGGAAAAATGTTTTTACAATTAATGCAGATAACTTATCTGCATTTATTCCCAAAACGGCGTCGTTTTGGTATTGAAATCTTAAAAAATTATAAATATAAAGACTATTATAACCCTGAAATAAATTAAAATTACAAATACACCATGATTTCCGCTCAAAACGACGACATCGTATTGGACTTACTGCAAATATCTTATCTGCACTAACCGCAAGCCAAACGTATGTTTATATCTAAATAATCTGATACAACATCATGTTTTACCACATAATAACCTCAAAAAATAAGTGTATTATTTTTTTCAATATCATACGAGAGAGAAATTCTTTCATATACATACAAATTGCAATATGAGTTTCATTTTATATTTTTCTTTCTTCTCTATTTGGTAAGAATTAGATTGCACTTTGTGTTTGCATGCATGAGAGGAGCTCTTGTATACTATGAGTCTATGAGAAAAATAATCATCTTGCTTTTAGTTGTTAATGTATGGAAATGATAGTTCACAGCCGTGTCAGCTTTTTTCCAGAAAGAATTTGGTTATTATAGTTCATTTGTTTTCCTTCCTTTTGTGGAGTGCCACAATAAATTCTTCTTCCTTTAAATGAATTTTTGATGATTTTACATCTAGTTGGTAGTTTCATCTTAATCTTAATAAAGAGTTCATCTTAATTATTAAATTTGACATAAAAGATAAATATTAATACCGAGTAGTCATTTTATACACGCGCTGATTCCGTGAAAAGATATTTGAGTCTTTTAAACATAGGATATAATAAAGAACCAAGAAAAGAAAGTAATAATTTAAAAGTTACATATTTATTTTAAAAATTTATTGGACTTTATATTTTATTCCCTATTATATATAATTTTATTTCGAAATTCAAAAAATAAGAATAACACATGTTTGAATAAAATTAAGAATGATCCGTATTACTTTTTAAGAATTTTTTTTTATAAATCAACTTAATCTAAAGCAAATACATACTTTAACTTAACAAATAAAGGGTTTAAAATTTTTCGTTAGGATATGAAATTATCTTCTAAACATATAAAAGTGGGGATAGGTTATTCTGCCTACTCTCATTTTGCCTACCTTTGCCTAGCCCTTTCATTATCGTTCGATTACGATTTAATCTAACAGTTCATATTTGCGAAATAAAATAAACTATTTTTCCCTTTTTTTTTCTCCTCATTTCCTACCAACCCTTTCTCTCTCCTCCCCTTTCTATCTTCCTCTAGGTCACGTTTTAAGAGTTGATACTTGTACATTGTTCAATATTTTTAAATAAATGAATGACACTTGTGTGCTGCAAAAAGCTGTGAGAGATATTACAGAGAAACAACATATTAAGAATCAAGTTATTTTCATAATTATTTTCTTATTGTTTAAAAAATCCCACATCTAATCATAAAATTGACATGTGTGTTAAAAATAAAAATCAAAACCAGATGTCGTACACTTATTTATATGTAAGATAATTATAAACATGAATCAACAACAAACATGAGGAGAGTCATTTGTTTTTCATTGAAATCGTATACACAGGTTCATACTAATCTCTCTCATTTCACTCATTAACTATCTATAGTTTTATAGCTTTTTCAAAAAAATTAATGATCTGCAAAATAAGAAGATCGGTACACACCTCTTCTTCGATAAAAAGATTATAACCCCTTTTCATTTCCGTTTAATTTTTTATTCAAGTGTCGATTAAACTCGAATACGTTTGCAAACAATGACCTAGAGGAAGAGAGAAAGGGTTGGGAGGAAGTGAGGAGAAAAAAAAAGAGAAAAAAGATTTATTTTATTTCGCAAATATGAACCGTTGGATTAAATCGTAATCGAACGATAATGAAAGAGGTAGGTAAAGGTAAGCAAAATTAGAGTATGCAGAATAACCTATCCCATAAAAGTGTATATGATCCAATTTTTTCATTTTAATGTTCTCCGTGATTGATACCATTAACATTATAAACGTTAAATTCATAAATAAAATAAAATAATTTAAGCAGCATTGTTGATACCAAAATTTCTTAATTTTTTCTCCAATTTAATCAAATAAGACAATAGCACTCATTTTACTGATTTTTTTTAATGACATATTATAAGGTTGTATATCTAGAGGTGTTAAAAGAGCCATGGCTTGACCTGTCTATCTTAGTTGTTAGATACAGACTTAAATTTGTATAAAAGCTCTTTAAATAATAAGGTTTCAGGCTTCAATTTCAAAGTTCGACCTTAAAGTCTATCATGCTGGTCTGATATACTAACTTTTATTTTTATTTTTTTAATACTAATTTATTAAATTCAACTAATTTTTACTTCGTCTTCGTGGTCCATCATCATTTTTATTGTCTTATTTTTTTTAACAAGCTAAGACTTTTTTTTTTGTAAATAAGTCAGGCCACAGACTGATAATTATATTTATAATAGATTAGAGCCTATGTCAATATGATATATTTAAACACAAATTTAACCTTTTAATAATAAAACTCGACCCAATAAAACCTATTAACACCCCCTATGTATTCTACTGGATTTGGCATAAAATGGGAGTAGGTACTCCCTTTCTCACAAGGGAAGAAAAAAATTATAGAAAAAAATAATCATAAAAATAAAAATAATATAAATGAATAATATAAATATATTATTTTTTATATTTGATAAAAAATGTTGCAATACCAAAAATGTTTTCGAAGGAATGAGGTGAGAGAGTACTTTCGAAGCGACAATCCTATCCTGTTGCGTTGTAAATGCTTCGGACAAGCACAAGCAAGTGACCAAAACATGGTGGGGAAGAAAATAACAACTCTGATTATCAAGATTGCTCTGGACAATAAAAGTAATTGAAACAGTAAATATTCTTTTTGTCCCTAATAAAAAAATATGGTTCATATTTTAGTCTTTTACAAAAAAAAATTAGTTAGTTGGTTCCTAACAAATTCAAAGTTGACCCTTTTAGTTGAAATCCTGGTCCCTCACAATTTCAAAAAGACCCATATTAGTCCCTTAAAAGAACTAAAATGGGTCCACTTTAAATTTGTTGGGGAACAACTGACTAATTTTTTTTTACGGGACTAAATGAGACCGTATTTTTTTTGTTAGGGACCCAAAAAGATATTTAGTCTAAATAAAAATTAGGACCACTGTCGCGCTATTTGTCATTCTGAGCAGTGACAAGTAGATCACTATCATTATATTTATTATTTTGTTTTGTCTACCAATAACTTAGAGCATAAGTTGGGAAGAGAGGGATAAGAGCGATTTCTTTGCGAGTAGGAGGTTCTTTCCATTGCGATAGGGTGGGATTTCAGCGTCTAACTGTGACTGGACTTTTACCTTTTGGTAACAGACGAGAAAGATGATGGAAATTTCATTGCACTTGCATGATTTGTTTTCAATAAGCTAAATAAACTAAAAAACACGCTGGAGAAAAAGCTATGAAAGACAACAGATCGAACATTACTGTCATTAAAGTGATAAATTATGTGGAAGAAATTAATATGATAAGGTTGATAACATGATTGACAATATGACCAAAGGGACACTTTTGGTGCTCAGTATGCTGTAATTTTAATTGGGGAGAAGAAATGACCATGTTAGGTTGGGACTTTCAGGGGACGAGGGTTCCCTACATGAGTACATGTTAAATAACAAAGTACGCATCCATTTGTTTTGATCACCAGTTGCACATGCCTTGCTTCTTGATGACTCTTCCTGGTTTATAGCACATGCAATCTTGGAATTAAAGTTGTCGATTGAATACACCTACATGTCTTCACATATGATTATTGTTTTTAATAATTACCCGATTGAATTAACTTGTTTTAAAGTAAAAATATTTTTTTAACCTTAAAAAGCTTCTAAAAAGTAATCATTTGTTTCTGAAAAATTGAACCACATGAGCTGATTCTCTCCGCATGATGAAGTAAAAATAGGGCAACATTAACCGATGGGATCGACTGAACCCGCACGACACTAGTTACCTGCCGAGGAAAAAACAAAAAAGAAAGGTCAGATGAAAGAAAAGAGAAAAAAAAAAGATTCTTAACAGAAGTTGCTGTAATTCGCAGCTTAATGATATATCAAATTGGGTCTATTATATAGACCAAGATTTACAATTGGTTACATCAGGAAATCAGCTAAACTTAAGGAACAGAAAGCATAAATCAAGCTAATCTATTTACATCAGGAAATCAGCTAAACTTAAGGAACAGAAAGCATAAATCAAGCTAATCTATTTACATCAGGAAATCAGCTAAAACTAAGGAACAGAAAGCATAAATCAAGCTAATCTATTTTAATATACAAGGTAACAAACCGTGATAGTTACAATCAGGATCCTAACAAATTAATGCTACTCTAATACTCCCCCTCAAGGTGGAGCATGGAGGGAGGAGATGCCCAACTTGGAAGTCAAAAAATCGAATTGTTTGGATCCAAGTGCTTTGGTCATAATATCTGCGGGTTGAGAACTAGTGGGGATATGTTGAGTAGAAATAGTCTTGCTGAGAAGATAGTCCCGAACAAAATGGCAATCTAACTCGATATGCTTGGTACGCTCATGGAACACTGGATTAGAAGCAATATGAATAGCAGACTGACTGTCACAAAACAGTTGCATAGGGGCTGCATGAGGAATATCAAGAGAGCTGAGAAAAGACTTTAACCAAATAAGCTCAGAAGTCGCAGCTGCCATGGCACGGTATTCAGCTTCAGCAGAGGAGCGGGATATTGTGTTTTGCTTCTTGGTTTTCCAAGAAATAGGAGAATGTCCAAGAGTAACAAAATAACCAGTGACTGATTTTCGAGTCAAGGGACAACTAGCCCAATC